TAAATGGTCAAACCATTACATAAAAGAAAACAAAAAATAAAATCCTATTTACTTGGTTAGGGTTTCATCAAAACCCTAGAAATAGAAGTCTAGCCACTCATGGAGGAGTAGGAAGAGATAGAAGAAGTAGAAACCCCCATGAAAATTGATCTTCAAGCTTGAGAATCCCCCTTTTCCAAACCCTAGTCCTTCATCTCTTTTGGAATTTTTTAGGACCCTAATTCAGCATTTTCTTCTGTCTTTTATATCTCCAGCTTTTCCAAGTAGGTTCAAAACATCGGGCACACTTTTCATGGCACGACTGCATGTGCGAAAAATACCACCGCACGTGCGGAGAGGGTTTTGCACGTGTGAGAAAAGCCCTCCGCACGTGCAATTTTTGCAGTAGCTGTTTGGCTTATTTGGTTGGACCACATGTGCGAGAATGGTCCTCCACATGTACGGCAACCTGCTCATGTTCTGGCTAAAATGCTGTGTTTTTGCTCATTTTGTGCTCCAACCGCATCCAACCTGACTGGCATTAAACAGACATAAAATATACAATTTGACAAGTAAGGTTAAAAGATCCTAATTATCGGCTTCAGTATTGTACAATTCGGCCTCAATCAATCTTCTTTGATTTAACTCACACAAAAAATTGAGTTTTTTTTATTTTTATTTTTTTTCGTATTGTTTTACTTTTACTAATTTTTTTTTTAATATTTTAAGTATTTTTTTAATTTTTAAGATACATTTAATTTAGATATACTTAAGAAGTATAATATTTTGTATTTTTTTTGAAATTCACCAAATATTAAAAAAAAAAAACAAAAATTCAATACATTGTCTTATTTTGTTAAATTCAATGTTTTTTTAAAAGTTTTTTTGTACAAATTTTATACTTTTTAATATATTTTTGATTAAATTGATCTAATCTATATATAATGGTGGAAATAAAAATGAAAAATTATATTCACATATAAAAATTTATACAAAAAATATCATAAAAATATTGTGATAGTGATATTGTTGTAAATATAAATTATATTTATGAGTGTTTTGTTTTAAAGTGAAAGATCACCATTAACCTATATCATTGTGCTTAAAAATTCTATATAAAATTTATATTTGTATATTATCACTCAATAAGAATATGTTTAGGTATAATTTAATGATGGAAAGTTGTAGAATGTAGTCATGATGATAGGAAGAAAAAATGGTACGAAAAACGGCTAGATGGTCATTTAGAAAATTTTAGAGTATGACATTAGCAATTCAGAGAGCAATTTGTAATGAGATTTCAAATCTCAGGAAGGGGAATGTAAATTTTCAAATATGAGAGGATCTGTATTAAACTAAAACTTCAGGGGAGTGATAGTGTAATTTACCCAAAAAAAAAAGAAAAAGTAACAATGAATGTCGATATTTATATCAAACATTTATAGGTAAATTACACTTACATCCCTGAGATTTGGGTTTAATACGACCAAGTTTGGCATGTCTTGAAAAAGACAAAAAGTTAAAAAGTCACTATCTTATTTAAGTCACATCACCTCTCTTACACATTACTTCAAACCCAACCCAAACCCAACCCATATTTCATAAAAAGTAAAAAAATACACTTATTTAGATCATCCCAAACAACCCTTACGTATCACTCATGACGTTTAGGAAATTACATTGACCCCCTGTTATTGCAATTATTTAAACAGAATTAATGTTAGTATCAAAAAGATATTGAATTCATACACTTTCTCTTTTCTTATTTTGCTTTACTTCTTTTTTTTTTTCTTTGCTTTACTTTTTTTTTAAATATAATTTCCTCTATTTTTTTACTTAGAGTTATTGCCTTTTATATAAGTAGGCGATTATGAAATGAGACTATTAACCATAGGGTAGAAGGTAATTTCTATAATGGCAAGGGTGAAATGTAATCAAACTAAATCTCAGGAGTGTCAATGTAATTAACCCAACATTTATTTACAGTAATATTTTACGGAGTTTTTTTGATAAATCTCCTTTCTAAGAGTTTTATTTCATCCAACCCATATTTTTTTTGATATTCCATTAGGTCCTATTTGAGATAAGAAGGCCAAAACACCCTAAATCTCTTTTGCCCCCATTAATGTTGATATTTAATATTGATTGTCATTATATCTTCACTCTAAAAAAATGCACACTACTATTTAATGTTGATATATATATATTACACACAAAAAATTAAACATGGTCCTTTATTAATTGTCATTATATTTTGGTAGTTCCCATGTATTATTGATTGTTATTATGTTTTGGTCGTTCCCATGCATTCAAATGTTGACTGTACGTGATGTCGTGAATGTTCACATTAGATGACGTGAATGTGAATGTTTATATCAGATGACGTTGTGATAAAGGTGATGTTAATGTTCACATCAGCATTGCATCAAATTACACAACCACAAGTCTCAACTTTTATTTGAATATAAATATGATGTGAATGTTCACACTAAAACATATGAACATTCATGTCATCTGATATTAACATTGTGAACATTAATATTTGTAATCACATTCATATGTTTTAGTGTGAACATTCACATTTACGTCATCTGATGTGGACATTCACACCATCATGTACAATTAATATTTGGATGCATGGAAACTACCAAAACATAATGACAATCAATAAAGAACCATGCTAATTTTTTGTGTGTAATGTATATCAACATTAAATAGTGGTGTGTAGCTAATGCATATCAATATTAAATATAAGAGTATAAGAGTTTAAGAAAATAGTATAAATCAATAAAAAAAAATTTATGGAGTAAAAGTATAAATACATAAGACTAAGTGGATTATAAATTTCTTTCATAGACTTCTTGAGTTAGAACACTCCTAAATAGAATTTATCAATAAAAATTTTAATTTTTTTTAATCAAATATAAAATTAAAAAAGGAAAAAAAAAATGAGAGATGCTACAAGGGAGAGATGCCATGCCACCGCATAGTTTGGGAAGTTGGTTTTGGTGGGTTAGGGGTTAAAATGGTTACAAAAAATAAAATAGGCTATTTTAGTCACAAAAGACAAAATATCAAATTCAACTCATAATCATTACACTCCTCTCTCACAAAAAAAAGTTAAAAAGCCAAATTTTTTTTTCTAAACCAGACTTTTTAGCTCCAGATTAAAATAGTCAAAAATTCAAAAAGTCAACCCACTTTTCAAACGGAGGTTTAAAGTAATATCAAGAATTTCAAAATTTTTACTAAGGCCTCGTTTGGGAACAGACTATTTTAGTAACTTTTTAACTTTTTACGAAAAGATGTGCAAAAAAATAGAGAAGTGATGTGATTAATTTTAGTTGACTTTTTGATTTTTTGACTAAAATAATCACTCCCCAAGCGAGGCCTTAGTGCGAGATTCACGCTATATAAATACCACACGCATAAAATTTTTAATAGACCTCTTGGAATCTCTCATTCTTAACCCACACCCAAACAAAAGCTTATCTCTCCTCTTTCTACTGCTCTACTTATCCACTCACCCTTCCATTCCCAACTCTTCACCTCAGACTGAGAGACACAGTTTGGTTTGTCTAGCAATGGCTTGCACAGCTACTTCAACGGCTCTTCTCTCATCTCCAAACCCTAGTACTAGGGCTTCTTCTTACATTTCCCCCAAATCCTCCCTTTCCACCAAACCCTTCTCTCAAACCCTATCCATCATCCCAACCTCCTTCAATGGCCTTCGGAAACCCTTCCACTCTCAACTCCCTCCTTCTTTCATCTCCTCCCCCAGATCTCACTCCCGCCGGAGTTTCCTTCTCAGAGCTGTAAGTGCTCTCTGTTTATTTATTTACAAAATCTCATTTTTATTTCTGGCTAGTGTTTACTTTTGGTAGTTTTTCATATATCTATAAATTTTCTGTCCGTATACATGTCTCGGTTTCATTCTGGATACATTATTGACATTGACTCTGGAAATTCGTGTTTAATCAAGCTAATTGTCATAAAGTTAAGGGTTTTTAGTGTTTATCAAAAACACATATTTTTAGCTCAAATTAAACTTAATTGCAGCTAAGTTGTTCTTTTTTTTTTTTCCCTTTCAATATAGTGAAGTTAATGATTTTCAAGGAATTGAAATTGGGTCTTCAAGTTTCTGTTATTCTTTGTAATATTGGGTTTTTGTGGTTGTTGTTTAACTGATTCTCATAATGTTGAAATCGGAATGAAACAGTACAGTGTTTTATTCTTTCCATAATAGCCCTTTAATATGGTGAAGTTAATTATTTTCAAGGAATTAAAACTGGGTCTTCAAGTTTCTGTTACTCCTTGTGGGGTAATTATTCAGGATTTCCGGAGTATGGACACGTAGTATTCCATAAGGTTTTAATTAGTAGGGAGGGGTAGGGGTCCACGATTAATGTTGCAAATGGGAAACAACATGTGGATAAGTAATTGGTGATTAGTTTGGAGTATGGCCACGTGGTGTTCTGAGATTATTGAATAATTTTTCCTTTTTGTGATATTGGATTTTTTTATGGTGGTTGTTTCACTGATTTTCATAATGTCGAAATCGGAATGAAACAGTAGATTATTTTTTCTTTCCATAATAGCCCTTTATTTCAATGTGGAAATCTATTACTGTTTTTGCAATTTGGTTTTCATGTTACTATTTTTCAAATGGAATTAGTCAAAAGAATTTAACATGCCGAGCAGTTTTGCCTTTTTCACATTTTCATTTCTTTTACTTTTTCTTCCTCTTCAATACATTAGCTATTTCTAAAAAAGTAATGGTTTTTTTGTTTGGGTTGTAAGCTATTAAGTCAATATAAAGCTATTTATAATTAAAACAGGTAGACGAACTACAAGATTGTATCTTCAGGATAATTAAAATGGGTAGACGATCTACAATTGTTAAGTTATTCTTTAACGTCATCTAAAAGACTAAAATCATTTTTGTCAGGGTCATGTGTTTCTTTTTTGAATTGGCTTCCAGGAATACGTTGTCATTATCTTCCTGTATGTCTTTGCAACAGGGTGAGCTTCCACTTGTTGGAAATACAGCACCAGACTTTGAGGCAGAGGCTGTTTTTGATCAGGAGTTCATCAAGGTAATACATGAAAAGAACAGTGTTGTGAACAAAAAAACAAATTATGAAGCATTGTTTGTCTTGAGTTATGCAAATATGTACTTCTTGCATATAATTGTATCTGGTTTCAAAATTGGGAGCACTCTGAGTGAGGATTTGATAGTTGGGGATCCTTTTGAGTGAAATTGATGTCTAGTTTTGAATCCAGGTGTAGTGTACTCGAAATTCAGAATCAAATGATTAGGATTGACCTATGGTCCTCAATCAATGTTGTTAAGCGTAAGAGTACAATCAACAAGATTCTATGAAGCACGTATACAGGCGTTGGTACAATATGGGTATGTCGATATGGTAAAATCTAAAAAAATGTAAGGTACGGGTATGGCGGTGTATGTTTGTAAAAATATTTTGGTTTCAGTTTTCTGGAAATTGAGTTTTTGTTTTTTGTTTTTCATTTTTCGTTTTTCGTGTTTTTTTGTTTTTAGTGAATTTTTTAAAATTTTAAGTAATTTGTTTTTTACTTTTTTAGATGCACCTTACTTAGATGTATCTAAATAGTAAAATATTTGTGAAAAAATATTTAAAAAATTAATAAATACTAAAAAATATGAAAAATGTACTGAATTTTTGTATTTTTTGTTGTATTTTTGGTATTTAGTGAATTTTTTAAAGCTTTTTTTTTTTACAAATATTATACTGTTTAAGTGTATTTATGTTAGGTGTGTCTAAAAATTAAAAAAATTACTTAAAATATTAAATAATTCATTGTAAACAAAAAAATACAGAAAATTAAAAAGTAGAATTTTCTGAAAAGTGTTTTCTGAAAACCAAAACCAAACAAGCTGATTTTTTCTTAATTTAATGTAATGCAAAAATTAGTTAAATTGTTTTGCTGGTTAAGGTTCTAACCTACAACTTGTATTTTAATGCCGAAAGTAAGGTATAAAGCAAAGTTAAATGTCATATGTTAGTGAACCTACTAGACAAAGATTAATTTTAAAATCTTGTTAACCATAGAAAAAGCCCAATGAAACTACTTTCACTTCTGTATGAAAGAAAATGTTATTTTGGTTGATGTACTACTTGAGTATATAGGTACCTATGGGATACAAACAAAATTTAATTAAAGAAATTTGGATATATGTTTTGTGTACCTAGTACGCATATAGAAGTATCATTAAAAGTACTGGTATGAGTATTTCATGTTTTTCAAAGTGCCCATGCTTCATGGACAAGATCTCTAATTCCCTACCCATGCTAGCTAAAGGCTATCAAGTGTTATTGTGTCAGTAATGATAAACCATTCATTCATCTGATTAGTCATTTTTCCTATGAAAAAAATTCTGAATAACAAAATAAGGGAAAATTCTGGACAGGGCATTTTGATTTTAAAATTCAACTGTAATCATGGCCGAATAAGGCCTAGTTGTTGTGTGTCATATATGTCTTTTTGGGGAGCTTATAACTCAGATAAAAAAATAAAAAAAAATCCTCTACATATAGAAAATTTTGGTATGCTTGCACCAGGATATCAATCAGCAATGCATACTTTGCTTTTACATTTTAATTTATATTCCTAATTGAGGGTTTGTTCTTGCAGGTTAAGCTCTCAGAGTATATTGGGAAGAAATATGTTATTCTCTTTTTCTACCCTCTGGATTTTACATTTGTTTGTCCTACTGGTGAGTTTGGCTTTGAGTGAATGTAAATCCATTTTTTCTTTAATTATTATTATTTTCATGTAAGAAATGTAAACCGAAGTCTATTATTCATGCTGAATATGACCTATTTATATTTTTCTATTCATTCTTGACGTGTAGAGATCACTGCATTCAGCGACCGCCATGCAGAATTTGAGAAGATAAACACACAAATATTGGGTGTTTCCATAGATAGTGTGGTAAGATTTTTGTTTTTTTATTTGTTTGCTCATTTGTTGATGCATTCATGTACATTGAATGTCTTTCAGTTTACTTAATTATATGACTCAGATGGTAACATCGATTGTTGGACATATCATATCTCTATGTTCAATTATTCAGCTGCACTTAAAAACCTTCTATGCTTGTGTGCTTATTGAAGAAAAAGGGTCAACTAGTGATGCTTAGTCATCACTAGTTATATTGGCTATACAAAATTGTGATGAATGTTATTCTTCCCATTCAGCTGCTGTATTAAACCTGTCAACTTTGCTGCTGAGTTTGTTTTTGTTTTTTGACTGAGCTTTCTCTTCATGATACCCTGAAAAAGTTTCTGATATTGTTATCCTGTCTGTTTCAGCTATATAATTGATGTTCTATTTTGACATTTTAACAATATTAGTTCATAATTGCTTCTGACAACAATCAGAAGACCTATTTGGTCTCTCACATTTATTTGTTAAATGTCCATCATCTATACTTACCAGTTAAGGGTTATTATAATTATTCCCACTTCGCCACTCTCTCTTTCTTGTTATCTCTCATTTTCATGTTCCTTTCTCAAGTCTCAACATGTGCTGTGATCCCATTCATGGCCTTCTAGTATTGTTTACGATAGTGATGGTTATAGAAATTTTAATTTATTATGCTGTCAATTATTGCTTCGGGACACTCCTAGTCGTGGTTTTGATTCAGTAATCAGTAATAAAAGCTAATAGTTATGTTAAAAGAAGTACCCTCCATAATTTTTTTTTTTTTGGGATAAATAAGTACCCTCCATAAATTTGAAATGAAAAAAGAAAGAAAGAAATAGAATTAACTATGAGAGTGAATTTCTATGTTTGGGTATCATGGACATTATTCAATTTTTTTCCTCCTTTGCCTTAATCCCTCTTTCTTTTAGCAATTTGACTTTGGGTTGCTTATACCTCACTTTTAGCTACACAATGTTGCCAATTTAATTAGGCAAACTCTACCTTTCTTTTTTGGAATTCAATATATTTTATGGGGGCCTTTTTTTATGAATGGGTAATTAAGTAGGGGTAGAAAAATCCTGCTCATCTTCTACCTTTTCCTATCCAGTCTCTTGGTTTTTGTTGCCTTGGTATTCTACTTTTAGGCACGGCTGTTGGCAGCATCTTTACATTAAAATCAACAACACACCACCTTCATTGCAGTTAGTTATCTCCATCATCTTCATTTCATTGACCTGTATGCATGCTGTTACCACTCATTGCGATCTTCAACATCATCTTGCAGTCCTGATATTTGTTGCCATACAAATCTTTGCCACAATCATCTCCACTTTCATCAATTAACCATCAATCACCACATTTGCTCTTTGTTTTGGTTTGCTCCACCCTTATTTTTCTGTCTTCTCTTTCTCATTAGCTGATTATTTATTATGTGCCTCATATTATTTTCTTTTTCAATTCTTTGCTGGCATAGCTTTGTTAGGATATGAGGAGGATGGGTTAATTTGATGGGCCTTTGGTCATGGTTGCTAAGGGAGGGGTCAGGAAGAGAGTGTCTGGTTTTGTATTGAAGGGTCCTTTGGCTTTCACCTTTTTAGAGGAGAGAGTAGAGCTCCAGAGTGCTGAGTTTCTTGGATAATTTATTACCCCAGTGTTTTTAAAAGCTCAAGGCGCCCTAAGGCGCTGAAGGTCTCTCGGGGTCTAGGCGCAAGGCGAGGCGCGAGCTTTATTGAAGTAAGGCGCACAGTCTTCGTAAAAAATAGAAAAATTAACATAGACTAATCATTCATAGTACTAAGACAATTTTTTAAAAAATAAAAAGTAATCAAGATTCAAGACAAAATATAGAATAATTCTCAAAGCCATGAAAGTGCATATTACATAACATTCCAATTTTCAAAGATCAAATAATCCACATTCAATAAAATAAAAATAAAAACATAAACACTTAAACATCCAAAACATAAATATCCAACAAATACTAATATACGTCTTAACACTTAAAAACATTAATATCAAAAGAAATGGTAGGTTAGGTCGGTGTCAGTCAATCATCATCCTCAACATCAATGGCAAGCAAACTATCATCTTCTTCTCCATCAGTTGATTTATATCCCTCAACATCTTCCTCCTCTGTGCCATCTGAGCCCGCTTCCTCTTCATCTATTAATTGAAGTGGAGTCAATGTTGATGATTTAGATATCCTTGGTTGTGCCTTTGAGCGTGAACTTGTTGCTCTACTTGCATGGCTACTTTCTTTTATTCTAGAAGTTCTAGCAACAATGGCCCACGTCAAGCCATCATCTTCATCAAACACAGGCTCATTATCTTCATCTGATCCATCCTCCCAAGCAACCACTCATTGCTTTCATCAATATTTTGTAAAGATATGGGATCAAGAGTGTTGCGCATGTCATACCTAAATCTCAATGCTCTATTGTATTTGACATACATTAAATCATTGAGACGACGTTGTTCCTATCTATTTCTTTCTTGCTATGAAGCTGCAAGTATTAAAAAGATATTAAATTCTATATAATGAGAATAAAAAATATTTGAATTGAACAAAAAATTAGCTAGAATGTTAAATACTCACATGTTCGAATACGCTCCAATTTCGTTCACAACCCGATGAACTACATGTTAGGCTAAGGACTTTTATGGCAAAAGTTTGCAAGTTTGGAGTATAAGAACCATATGATGCCCATCAATCAGCTGCGATAATCCACTAGTTAGAAATAACTGTTATTAAGTATTGAGTTTTACTAAAAGTATTACTAAAAATAAACTATATGAGTATATAATATATTACCTGGTGCTCTTGTATTTCTTTGTCTAATCGCAACAGACTTGCCAAAAAGACTCTCAGCCTTCATATAAATACTCATCTCATTAGTGATCAAATCTTGAACAGTGACATTCGGGACCAACCTTTGCATGCATTCATAAAACCCATTCATCACTTCATGATCTTTTTGCACCTCTAACGCTTTTGGGTAAAAGAATTCTGGGTTAAGAAAATGCGCAGCTGCATGTAAAGGCCGATGCAATTGGACATCCCATCTTTTGTCGATGATTTCGAAGATTTCATTATACTTCTCTTCTTTATGATCAAATGAACTTGCAATGCATTCTTTTGCCCTATCCATTACCTCATAAATGTATCCCATGGGAGGTTTCTTCTCGGTATCAACCAATCTAAGCACTTCGACAAGAGGACCCGAGACCTTAAGGGCAAACACAATAGTATTCCAAAATGAAGGCATCAACAAAGTTTGTGCCGTTCTTTTACCTTGTGGCTCCTTTGCCCATTTGCTTGAGGTCTAGTCTTCGGAGGTGACTATCTTTCTCAAATTGTTTTTTTGTTGATGCATCCTAGACAAAGTCAAAAAGGCGGTTGCAAATCTAGTTTTTGTTGGTTTGATCGAATTCTTCAAATTTGTATAGTGCCTCATCATGTTTAGCAACGTAGGCCGATTGTAAATGTAGCCATGTATTGCAATACTCCTTTCAAATGTCTTTTTCAGTCTAGGTATCTTGAAAATGTCTTCTAATATCAAGTCCAAATAATGAGCAGCACATGGTGTCCAATACAAGTGTTCATACTTAGCTTCCAAAAACCTTCCTATAATGTAACAATAACGAATTATTATTTTCAAGTTTTTAAATTTTAAATACAAAACAAACTATGAGTAAACAATTTTGATGTAAGGAATAAAGAAATATTCTTACCCGCCAACACATTAGCTGCAGCACTATCAGTGATAATGTGCACCACAACTTCCTCCACAAACTTGTCTAGTAATTCAAATAGCTTTTGCCCATCCTTTGAATAGCTAGAAGCATCAATCGACTCAACAAACATGGTTCCTCTTGGACAATTAATTAAAAAGTTAATCAATGTTCTTTCTCTCTTATCAGTCCAACCATCAGCCATTATGGAATACCCGTATTTTGCACAATCCTCTTTATGATTTTTCATCAAATCTTTAGTATGTTTCACTTTTTTTTTGAGTTGGGTAACCCGCACTTTATGGTAAGTCGGTGGTTTCATACCAGGACCATATTGGCCAATGGCTTCAATCATTGGTCCAAAACTCTCATAATTTACTGCATTAAAAGGGATACCAGCATCATACATCCACCTTGTAAATCTTTGCACTGCCTGAGCTTTCATTTCTTTTTTGTAAGGGTCATTTGCATCAATTTTGGTTTGTTTTCCTTTTGCTTGGTCTCTTCGATTTTTCACCACTGATTCAGGATTGGGTGTGAAGTAAACATCCATAGGCCCTTTTCTCTTTGGCATTTTTGATTTTGATTTGGATTTGGATGAACCTTGGCTACTGCTTGTCAATTTACGGTGTTTTTTGACATTGATCTCAACGACATCATTATCTTTATCTTCATCTTCATCTTCCATGTCCATGTCATTGAAATTAGGCAACATGTTCATTTCTTATTTTTGTGTCTTTTTTTTTTACATGAACTCTCTAATCTCTTCTCTTACATGAGAAGGACACTTCCGGCAAGCAGTGACATTCCTATAACCGCTCGCGAGGTGTTGTTTCACCCGATAAACACCTCCATTTGATACTTTACCACAAAAATTACACTCGAACTTGTTTAAATTATTCTCCTCTACCAAATGGGCATATTGTCACGCCGGATCTTTTCTATTACTTTCCGATGTCATTTTCTACACAACAAATTTAATAAATGAAAAAATAATTGTATTAAAAGAATAAATGGAAAACAAATTTAATCCGTAACAGATAAAGGAAAAAAAAGATCAATACCACATTGTCTTAATTAATTATTTGTGAATAATTAATTATTTGTAATTTTTTTTCCCTAAGAGATAAATTCTTCTCTTACATATTACAAATAATTTTTTTTTTCAATAGCATATTACAAATAATTTTTTTTCCCCTAATTTTTGTAATTTTTTTTGTAAATTCTTCTCTTACATTTTTTTTCAGAGACTCAACTCAAAAAAAGAAAAAAAAAGAAAAAAAAAAGAAGCAAAAAAGAGCACTGAAGAAGGAGAGAGAGGAAGAGTCGAAGGCAAAACAGAGCACTGAAGAAGTCGAAGCCCAAAAAAAAAAAAAAAAAAAGAAAAGCAGGACTGAAAGTCGAAGACGAAGAAGAAGGAGAAGGGGAGAGAGAGTCGAATTCGAACAGACTTGCGAAGCCGAAGTCGAAGTCCAGTGTTGCAGTCGAAGTCCAGCTCCAGCAGCCCAGTCGAAGTCGATTGCGAGGCGAAAGAGGAAGAGACGACTTCGATTAGGGTTCATCTGAGTCGTATTTGGCTCATATGGTACATGAGTTGTAATCCTCTGTGATTACGAGCCATTCGTAAGGTTCATCTGAGTCGTTAGATCAGATCTACCTCTTAAACAATCAGTCGCGCCTAGGCGAGAGCCTTGCGCCTCTCTCGCCTGGTTCCAGTCGCTGCTAAGGTGCGCGCCTAACTAAAAGCGCCTCGCCTGGTACCTGTTCAGTTGCAGGCAGTGCGCCTCGCCTCGCCTCGCGCCTAGGCGCGCTTTTCACAACACTGGATTACCCATGGTCCTTTTTAAAGTAGAAGAGTGCAACATTTTGGTTCAGTAAGAGTTGGGATACTGCTAAGTGCTAAACCTCCACGCATGTGCAGTAGGTGTATGGATCCTCTACAGTTTATCCCTCTAGAGTTTCCTTATAGTTATCAAAACGACATCATTTTGAACAAAGCAAAAAAAAAAAAAAAAAAAAAAACTTTGCAGAAAACTCTCTTCTCTCTCTTCTTCCTCCTCCCTCCCCACCCTCTTACTGGCGGCACCCCAACCACACCCTCTTCCATCACTGGAAACGCTCTCCACATCCACATCCACATCCACATCCTCACCCTCTACAGTTGATCTTCTTCACCCACCCCCATAAAACAAAACAAACAAAATCTCTTTTCTCTCTCATCTCTCTTCTTTCTCTCTCTATAAATTCCAAACCTAGAACCAAAGAAGAACAAAGAACAAAGAAGAGTACGTGTGGAAGAAACCCTTGCGAAACCTGCCAAGAGTAGATCCAATGAATTTACACCAAATGGCATCCATACTTTGAGGCATTCGTGTCCAATGGGAGGGGCACCTCCAAACCTGCAAAATCCAATCCTTATGCCAGTTTACGAAACTTGACGGCAGCAGTGGCGGAGGCTGGAGGAGGGCGGGGATGGGGCTCCGGCGTGGGGAGGGTGCTGACAGTAGGTATAGAAGAAAGAGAGAGAGCCGACGGTAGGTGTAGCAGAAAGAGAGAGAGAGAGCTTTTTTTTTTTTTTTTTTTTTTGAAAATATCGTTTTTCAAAACTCTGGGAAAACTATAGAGGATCCGGACGTGTGCAGTAGGGCTGCATTTCCCTGACAATTTGTGTTACTTCAATAACTGGCTGTGGCTGATCACCAATGCACCACACAAATATATATTTTAATTCCTCAAATTTTGTGGCTTTTGATATGGGTTTTTGGATGACATGATTATCTATGGTTCCACTTACTATGTAGTTTAATTTGCTTTGTGAATCATGATGATTTTATGTTCTTTGTGAAGTTCTCCCACCTTGCATGGGTCCAAACAGACAGAAAATCTGGGGGGCTTGGTGATCTAAAGTATCCATTGATTTCTGATGTGACCAAATCAATTTCAAAATCCTATGGCGTACTGATTCCGGACCAGGTATGCTCAATCTAATTATTTGCAATTGCTTGATTTTTCTTTGACAACTTTGCCATCACTTCATCCTAGAACATAAATAGGTTAGCAAACTTAATGTTTAGTTAGAAGAATTATGCTGCGTGGGTGAAGATCCATTACAGTTGTCTGCATAAATAGTCCTTTTGCAATATCAACCAATTTTCTTAGTCATCAAGGTCAGTTTTTGGTGTTACCAAGCTATATTTTGCTCATGTCTTTCGTTTTGTAAAGGATTACCTTTTTTTATTGCCCCCTTCTGTTTTTGCCGTCTAGAAATTGAGCTCCAATTGTCTGTTGAGCTGATCATTTTTCTGGTGACCCCATTTTTATTTATGAATAATGGTTAAATAGTTAAAAATTAAATGATGTTATTAAAGCCTTAAATTTTGTATTATGTTCTTTCATTATATACAATGGTGCCATTGTATTTTCAGGGAATTGCATTGAGGGGACTTTTCATTATTGACAAAGAAGGAATTATTCAGCACTCCACCATTAACAATCTTGCAATTGGGCGAAGTGTTGATGAGACAATGAGAACACTTCAGGTAATATAGTCAATTGACGAGCCGGGTTTAGTTTTTAGGCTTTTACCTATTTTAATGTCTTGCACACGGGTAACTACCAAGTGCAGTGTGTCACATTGCCCCACACACACATCTCACCAAACTGATTAAATATTCAAAAATAATCTTTTAATTGGTTTGCGGTGCTTTGTTTCTTGCGATGTGTTGGTGGTGCAGGCATTGCAATACGTGCAGGAGAACCCGGATGAAGTATGCCCAGCTGGATGGAAACCCGGTGAGAAGTCCATGAAGCCAGATCCCAAGCTCAGCAAGGAGTACTTTTCTGCAATATGAAAAGAAGAGAGAGAGAGAGCTTAACAACCTAGTAGCATCTCCATTTGGCATTTATAGAGGTTCTATTCTATAGAGTTTTGTTTTCATGTGATGTTGAGGTTTGAGAGGTAGTTTCTGGGAACAAAATGAAATAAACCAGATGTACCCTTTATTTAGAATCCTTCAATGTTTGCTTGGCTGTTAATTCCCATTAGGAGGGTTTTGTCAAATTCTGTTCGATAATGTAACAAAATAAAGAAGGGAATGTGTGAAACATTGAGATTGTGTCTCAGTACGATTCTTTTGTAAGTAATTGATTCTTGGTGTGAATTTTTGGTCTACGGATGAGGGAGGAGTGAGGTGTGTTGGTTGATTTGGCCGTGCCAATGCTATGGAGGAAGTAGAGGGTGGGGCAAAGGTGATGGCCAAAAAGTAGTTATCCACGGTTAGAGATAGTCTAAGTGTTACTAAACGGTACCTCATTGACTGCCAAATGTGATTTTTGGCAAGAGATTGTTGTTGTCGGTGGGTGGTGACCAAACAACGATAGTGACTGGAAGTGGGGGTGGTTGGATGTGGTGACTGGCGGTGGTGATAAGTGTTGGGTGGTGGCTGGAAGTGATAAGAGAAGGAAGGAAGAACTATTTTTTTATTTTTTATAAATAAGTGAAACTAACTTTGAAGTTAAATTTTGTAAATTGTTTATAGCTTGTAAGTTTTTAGAAAAATAGATAATAGCAAATAAATTTTTATTTAGAGATCTTAAAATTTTTACAAATATAAAAAGAAAATTATAGTTATCATGTTGCTAAATAGGTTTTTAGTAAATATCTTTTTCTTTTAGTTAATTAAAATGAGTCACCATTGTTTCACTTGTAAAATTTTCAGTTACTTGTTTGGGAGCAACACATCGGTACTATGTGGATAATGTAACACGGTATCATGAGATTATTAAATAATTATTTTAAATTATTATGTGTTTGTAGATGTAATTATTATACAACATGATTTGATATATTGTAATTTTTTATTTAAAAATAAGTATAATTTACAAAACGTTGTTGTATAATGTTTTTTGTAACAAAGTTTGTATAAAAAGGTTGATAATCTAGTAAATTTTCATCAATAATACCTCTAGTATCATATATTTTAAATTCCAACATAATAAGTAATGATCTTATCACATAAATCAATAATTATAAAGTTAAAGCTCCCCACACAGTCAAGAGAACTTGTCCCTCTTATTTTTCCTTTTTTTTTTTTTTTTTTTGGGTTTGTTTGTATTTAACGATGTTTTTAAAATTCTGTCATTTAAAAAAAAAAAGCAAAATTCGTATCGACGATAAAATCTTAAAAATAAAATAATTCAATAAAATTTGAAAAGGGTTTATTAATGAGAAATATAAGCCTTTTTTAAAAACGACAATGCTACGTAACTCAAATTTTGTGGCTCAAAAGTGGCTCAAATGGCCAAAACGACGTCGTTTTGAATACAGAACAACATAAAAATGGTCAAAACAACGTCGTTTTGGTCATTTGAGCCACTTTTGAGCCACAAAATTTGAGCTACGAGACATTTTCCTTTTAAAAAATACTTTTTCAATAAAAATGGACTTTTCAACCCATTCGTTGGACTATTTCAAAATATTGAAATCTTTAAGTAGGGGGGAATCTTAAAGTAAAATATTTGACATTTGGGGTGTTTAAAAAGGAAAAATTAGTCTAAGGTCTCTCTCCTATTTTTAGTAATGGAAGAGATCCATAATATTATTTTATGATGTCTAAGGTTCCTCAACACCACGTATACCTCACGGCTTCAAACCTTCACCTCTCTCTCTCTCAGACTCACATCTCACCTCTTCTCTCTCCTCGCTGCTCTTCTCTCTCTCTCATCGATCCAGCTCGATCAATCTAAGATCCCTATGTCAAGAACTCCTCGGCCACTTCTTGCTCCGGTTGAACCGGTGTATGAAAGTCTTCTACCATGGCTCGGCGACGTCGTATGAAATGATTGATATCAATGTGGTGTGTTGTGTTGTGTATGGGGTCTCTCAAAATGGGTGTGTGTATCTCCTTCTCCCTCCCTAACCTGAGAGAGAGAGTGTGAGATCTCTCATTTTCAAAATGCAACCCACCCCCATGAACCACACCTTCCTCACGACCTTTTCTCTCTCTAGACACCCACCCCTCATATCATAACTTCCTTCCCTTTTTATCTGTGTGTTCTCCTCTCCCTGAATTCAACAGAGAGAGAAAGATTGAGTTTCCATTTGGTCCACCAACTTTAACACCCCTCTAACCCATCACAAGATAAAACCGAAGATGATAGTCTGAGAGAGATAGTTTCAGAGATAGGTCCGTCTCTTGATAGAAGTGGGTGCTTACTCCCCCCCATGTGAGACATGTGTGTATAGATCGGACATGCAGAGAGAGAGAGATTAGAGAGAAATGGGTTTCTATGGTCTCTATGCCCGTGTGTGCTGCTGTGTGATGCGTATATCAGTGTGTGTATTTTTTGTCAAAGCTGCCGAGAGAGAGATTTAACATCAATTTTAATCTTTTTTTTGTCAAAGCTACCGAGAGAGAGATTAAATATCAGTGTGTGTATAAATTAAACATCAATTTTTATTTTTTTTAAAGAAAAGAAATTAAATGATTAAACATGGGAATTGTTTATTCCAAGGCATATTTTGGGAAGTGATTTTGTTTTGGAATATTTTTGGATTCCCAGAATTTCTCTGGAGGAAGAAGATGAACAAAGAAGATGATAATGAAGGCTTTAGGAATTTCTCTAGGAAGTCCAAAATTTCTTTGGAGAGAAATTTCTCTGGACTTCTCAGAATTTTCTCTGGACAAAGAAGATGATGAAGGCTTTAGGAATTTCTTTGAGAAGTCTAGAATTTCTCTGGACTTCTCAGAATTTCTCTGGACAAAGAAGATGATGAAGGCTTTAGAAATTTCTTTGGGAAGTCCAGAATTTCTCTGGATTTCTCTGGACAAATAAGATGATGAAGGCTTTAGGAATTTCTCTGGTGAGAAATTTCTCTAGACTTCTCAGAATTTCTCTAGACAAAGAAGATGATGAAGGCTTTAGGAATTTCTCTGGAAGGTCCAGAATTTTTCTGGAGAGAAATTTCTCTGGACTTCTTAGAATTTTTCTGGACAAAGATGAAGGCATTAAATTGAATCTGTACAATGATAGATGACATCAACTATCATAAGAAAGAGAAATAACCCTTACCTGTTGACTCTTTAATTAATATGAATCTGTACAAGTTAAGGGTAGAGAGAACTTGCAGAATACGATACAATACACGTCATCTAAATAAAACAAGCATTAATTGATCAAAAAAATAAAAATAAAACAAGCATTAAAGAAAAATATCTCAGATGAAGCAATGGGTTCGGATCTTAAAGATGACTCTGTTTCTTTGTGATTAGAAAGACAAAGTTCAGATTCCAGAAAACTGTAAACTTAAATGCCTATACTGACTTTCAAACCTCAAACTCCCTTAGAAAAACAAATTCATGGTGTTATAAATGTCAAAGTTGAGAACTTGCTTTTATTAGACAGAATTAAGAAAATTGGAGTTGGATAATCCTCACTCCAAGTTTGATGCTTTCTAAACTGTTATTAATTCATTGAAGTGGAAACAACCTTTAATTAGTTAGGTAGATAATGGCATGAATCCCCCACTCCCAAAATCACTCTCCCCATCCCCAATACACTCCGAGCCGCTTGATCATGCTTTGAGATCTTTATGTTTTGAAATTCACACCACATCGCACGTTTGAGGGCATAGTTTTAAATATGATATGTATTGGTGTTTTTGGCTTTATGATGCCGTTACACTTCAGTACACCAGTACGAATGAGAATAAAAATTGTGTTGGTCCGTTCACGATATGTGTTAGTTATTCACGATCAGATTTTCAGAATTTCACGATCAGTACACCAGTACGAAGGCTTAAGTTAGAAATTTCTCTAGAAAGCCCGAATTTTCTCTGAAGAGTGAAGTCCAGAGAAATTTTCAGAATTTCTCTGGATCAGATTTTCTCTGGGCTGAATTTTCTTTGGATCGATGTTAAGGGACTATAGACATTATGAAAATATTGAGTGTCCTTTATGCTATAAAATCTTAATACCAGGGACTTTAAAAAAAATCCCCCTTTAAAAAATCGTTCTGTTTGATGTGATTTTTATTAATTTCAATTCTTATTTTGATTCGCAAGTGGTAGAATCGTTTAAATAGGTCCGATTTTCAATTTAAAGATTTTGATTACGATTTCGAATTAAACCGTGACATATTTTATTTATTTATTTTGTATATTTTTATATATAAAAATGGAAATATAAAAGCTTCTCATCTATATATAATATAAAGAAAATGGGATTTTTAATCCATTATAAGGCTTCTAAGAACTCAAAGTTTTCAATCTAAATTTTATAATTTTTTGATTTTTAAAAATTAAAAAAATTTTCTATTGGCTACCTCTTATTCAAGCAAAATAATAATAATAATAATAATAATAATAATAATAATAATAATAATAATAATAAAAATAAAAATAAATATTCCTTGATTTATAACTTTCAAACAGAAAGTATATCATATCTAAAAAAAATGAAAATTATACTAATCCATTTCAAAATTCAAATTTGAGGGTTACTAAATATGGAAAGCAATTTATTAATTTAAATTTAAAATTGATACAATATAAATTTAAAATTATAATGATCTATCCCATGATTTATAAGTTTTAAATACAAATTTAAAATTATTATAATTAGCTCATAATTTTTGTATTAAAGAGCAATAAGAGTGACGTTGAGATTATTTATATATTTTACAAAAGAATAATTTTAAGAGATTTCAAAACCTCATACAAAATCTATATACTACTATAATTGTAAAACGTTGTCATCTTATTATAGTTGAAAGTTGAAATTATTTTATTTTTTGATTTTGTTTAATTTTTGTTAATATGTGTCACAATATGATTGATTTATAAATTAATTTTATATTCTTAAAATAAAATTTTAAATTTAGATTCTTCCTTAAATTATGTTACTAGAATAAGATCAATATTCATTCCTTAATTTATGCATCTTTTATCAAAGGGCAAATTACACTAACAATCCCTATAGTTTGAGATTCGTGTCACTTTGGTCCATAACTTTTCAATTGTGACACATTTGACCATGAATTTTGAATCTTGTTTCAAATAAGGACAATCGAAGATACCATTGTTTAATTTCAAGGGCAAAATCGCCAATTTAATAAAATATAAATTAATTTGACAAAAATAAATA